TCTCCAAAGTTATAAAATTCAACACAATTCTGAAATGATGCTCATATTATGATTTCATATATGCACAATATTTTGCATAATGCAATTTATTGTTCAAAACTTTTCAAATTTATTCCATTTTATTCTGGATATATATTACAGATAACTCACAGAACATAAAAGTGCACATTGAAAACAGGTCATTCTGTTAACTATTTTTAAAACTTTAAAAGATAATTGCTTCAAAATATTCACTAGATAATGTGGGGTTACAACATATGTGAAAGTGAGATGTGTGATAGCTAATCAGAAAGGCTGGAGGAGGAAAAATGAAAGCTACTCTCCTAAGATTCCTCAAATAATCAGAAAAGAAGACAGAAACCACATTTGGAAAACAGAAAAGAAAGTGGAAGATGATTGAATTAAATCTAACTACATGAATAATCAAAGAAAAGGATCTAAATAACCCAATTAAAAGCAAGATGTGTGTGTATGTGTATATATATATATATATATATATATATGCTATAAGAAAGCCACTTAAGTATAAAGACACAAATAATTAAAAAGTAAAAATAAAGACAAAGTTATAAATACTAGTATTTAGATGATACAAATCTAAAGAAAGATGGAGTGTCTATATTAATAACACAAAATAGATGATAGCGTATAGATGATTACCAGGGAGGATGTAAGTCACCTCACAGTTATGATGAGGTCAAGAATAGAAAAACCCCTAAACATCTTTGCACTGTTGGCAGAGCTACAAAAGACATGAAGCAAAAAATATAGACAGCAATAAAAATATAAGTAAACTCAGAATTATAGTCAGAGATTTCAACACTCCTCTCTCCATAACTGATAGAGAAAAGGAGAAAGAAAATCAATAAAAATACACATGATACTATCAAACAACTGGACCTAATAAATATTCTATAGAACACACTGACCAACACCAACAGAATTCAAAACTTTTCAAATACACCTGGAACATTTACCAGAATAGACCACATTCTGAGCCATCAAAAAGTCCCAATAAGGTGAAAAAAAGGTTTCATACAAAGTACACACTTGGACCACAATGATATTAAATTAGAAATCAATAATAGAAAGATCCAAAAATTCCTAAATATTTGGAAACCAAATTAAACACATCTATGTAACATGTAAGTCAAAAAAGAAAATTAAACAGTATTTTTTTAAAAAATTTTGAACGTAATAAACATGGCAATATTACCTATCAATTGTGGGGTTCTGATAAATAGTAGTTAATGGAGATTTACGGTACTAAATACCTATCTCAGAAAAACATAAAAGACTCAAATCTGTTATCTCAGTTTCTACCCTAAATAACTCTAAAATGAAGACAAATAAAATTCAAAATAAACAGAAGAATTAAGATAATTGTACACTAAAAAGAAATTAATAATGATAAAAGACAAACAAAAGAGAAATTAATGAAGTGGAACAGTTCTTTAAGCAGATCAATAAAATTGATAAAACTGTGGCTAGATGAGTCAGGAAAAAAAAGAAAGAAATCCACAAACACACTAATATCATTAACCATCATGGAAATGCAAAAATAAAACCACAGTAGATACCACCATACACTGTTGTAATGACTAGACTTCAAAACATTGACCGTCCTAATTATCAGTGAGGACACATGGTGACCAGAACACAAACATTACTTGGGGAAGATAAGGAGGTATAGTCACTTTGGAAAACAGTTTGCAGTTTCTTAAAAGGTTAAGCATGTGCCTATACCATCCCTATGACCTAATCATTCCACTCCTGGGTATTTTCCCAGGAGAAATGAAAGCACATGTCCACACAGTGAGTACACATAGGTCATAGCAGCTTTATTCCTAAGAGCTCTGAACTGGAATCAACCTACAAGTTCATCAATAGACTCGTGAATAATCAAACTGTGGCGTATTCATGCAAATAGAATACCACTCAACAATTTTTTTAAAAAATGAACTATTAACACATGCTACAACATAGACAAATCTCAATATTATCATATTAAATGAAAGAAGCCAGTCCTCTCCCCACCAAGAAAATGCATCCTGCATGATCTCATTTATATAAAACTCTAGTAAAAACAAACCAATCAGTTGTAGAAGAAAGTAGATCAATAGCTTCCCCAGCAAGGGGAATAAAGAGAGGAACCCAAGGGCATAAATACAAAGAGGCACAAGAAAACTCTTGGAAATTGTGGATGAGTTCATTTCTCAAAAGTGGTGATGGGGTTACAAAAGTACACATAAGTCAAAACTTACCAAATGGTACACTTAAAATCTGAGCAATCCCTGTATGTTGTCACACTTCAATTAAGCCATTCTTAAAATTTATAAGTAAATCATACATTGCTGGTAGGACTGCAAATTGGTGCAACCACTATGGAAAACAGTATGGAGATTCTTAAGAAAATTTGGAATGTAATCACCATTCGACCCAGCTATCCCACTTCTAGGTTTACACCCAAAGGACTTAAAGTCAGCAAACTACAGTGAAGCTGCCACATCAATATTTGTAATAGCTCAAGTCACAATAGCTGAACTATAGAACCAACCTAGGTGCCCTTCGACAAATGAATGGATAAAGAAACTGTGGTATATTTACACAATGGAATATTACTTTGTCTTAAAGAAGAATGAAATTATGGCATTTGCTAGTAAATGGATTGGCTTTATGCTAAGCAAAAAACCAATCCCAAAGAACCAAACGCCAAATGTTTCCTCTGATATGTGGATGCTAATTCACAATAAGGTGGGGGGAAAGAACAGAGGTATTTTGGACTAGACAGAGGGGAGTGAAGGGAGTAGAGGGGGCATGATGGCAGGAGAGATAATAGAATGAATCTGACATGGTTATCCTATGTGCATATATGATTACATGACCTGTGTGACTCTACATCATGTACAACCAGATGAATGAGAAGTTATACTCCATTTATGCATGACGTGTCAAAATGCACTCTACTATATATATAACTAATTAAAACAAATAACATTTTTTAAAAAAATTATGAGTAAACATGTATAAAAAGTCTTCCTAAGGCACGCTAATTTATTAAAGTAAGTAAATTAATAAGTTAAACAAATTAATTTAATTTATTGGGAGCTTGATAGAAACATTTACAAGGTAAACAGGATCTATTTGAATTTATCTCGTTACGTGTCTACATTAACCTAAAATACAATACATGAGCTTTTTAAATAAGTTTGTTAAGAAAACAAGATTATCGTGTTTCCAACAAATTGTTCACAATAAAAAAATCAATTCTGAACTCTCTCTTTCCTAACCCCTCCCTCACTACCATGCTTCTAGTTTTCAGATCCTTTGGGGGCAATGAAAATTTTGATGCACTTTGGCCTCGTGTTTGACACAATTAAATGAGAATATATTTGTATGACTGAGAGTGGTTCAGAGTGAATAGGACTGGAAAATATCTGCTGTCTTATACCCCAGCCCTGCAGAAGCAAAGATTGCAATGACTGAAATGTATTCATTGGGGAGCTGCACCCAATAAGCACTACAGTCCTATTTTTTTCCAGCTACAGTTGAAATTCCACTCTGAAATGCAGTGCGTGGTGAAATGGAAACGATTAGGCTGCTGGGAGAGGGATAATGTAAGGTATATCTGATTCTAAATTATTAATTCAAACAGAATTAAAAATGACATGTTCTGCATTCTTCTCACTTTCCTAGAGTAAAAAAAAAAAAAAAGTCTCCCTTCCAGACTTTTAATCTTTCAGTCTACATATAATTTATACCTACAAAAATATTTCTAAACTGAAGTGATTAGATCAAGTACCATCTTAACATGCAAAGTTCCTTAAATTCAGGTTTATGTTGCACAAGTGCCTCAAAGAACATTACCAAGAGTAAGGCCTCAGGTAGAATGCAAATTGGTGTGCTTATCACATTTACAGACATTTTAAAATATGTATCAAAATTGTATGCTTTGCATCGCCATTTATAAATATTCTGTTTCAAACATTTTTCAAAACTGTCACATTGACTGTGCTGAAAATGTTTGTTTTTATGTTTGCTTGGCCTATTTAATGGTGTTCTCACATTATTCTATATCTATGTGTATAGAGTTGTCTCTCTTGACCCGTACAGTGTCATGGTGAAGAGCACAAAGATTTTAAAATCAGAGGACCAGGTCCAGCCTGGCTCACCACACACTAATTCCAGCCTTGGGCCTGTTTTCAAACATAGAGATGGTATTCACAGTGTTGTTATCAGGTTTTCATCAAGGTAATTAAGTAAAGACCTTAGCCTACAACCCAGCATATAGGTAGCACTCAAGAAAACAAAACAAGAATTTTGAACTACAAAAAAGAAGTAGGGCAGGAAACATCCAGTGATTATAATTATCTTATTAATAGCAACATGATTATGCATCCTAACATTGTAGAATACCTGAAAATTATCATGTAGTCAAAATGATATTTCTTAGAAAGGCAAGAAGACCTAAAAAAATGTATAAAGTGAAAAAAGATCTGGTTTAAATTTCAGCTTCAGATTGTTAATTAAATAATTCTGGTTGGTTATTCTATTTTGATTGACCATTTTACAGTCTATAGACAGGATCTATACATAGTAGATGCTCAGTGCATGCATCCTAAAGGATTAAGTCAACAACATTGTCAACACCATGCTCTGATAGCATGAGACCTCTTCAAAGGAAAAGTTATAACATTGAGTGCAAAATGTGAGTCACTGATACATATTTCTAAAGACTAACAGATGGAGAAAAATGTAGTTCTGCAGGGCCTTTGTTGCATTAGAACCTGAAATGCAAAGTTTAATATTCAAAATGATTCTTCCTCAATCCTCACTCCAGAAAAGTGGCCCCAAAAGAATCATATATCCACTTATAGAAAATGGTATGGTTCAGCTGACCACTAAACCATATCTCAAAGTTTGGTATTTTTCCCCTCAAATAAAATGTCATTATCTCTGATGTTCATAGTCCTTTAAAGATTATTTTGTTCATTTCACAGGTCTCCTGTCATGGCTGGAGGTCTCTTTGCTGTGGATCGAAAATGGTTTTGGGAACTGGGTGGCTATGATCCTGGTTTAGAAATCTGGGGAGGAGAACAATATGAAATCTCTTTTAAGGTAAGCTGCCACCACCCTCTTCAAACATGTTTACATAGTTTTGACAATTCTGCTATGACATCATTACTCTATGACTTATGTTGTAGGATGATTTGGTGATATTAATGACAGGTGACACTACACATTGTCACCTTCTCAGGTTAGCTTTTGGATGAGAGAGGCTACTTCCTTCTGACATTTCAGTGTGTTGTAGCCTCGCCATACACAAAAAGAAATAATTCAAACTCCTATTTGAAGGTGGGAAACTGTGTCCCAACAGACCTATGACTTCACTGGTGCTGAGGCCCTTAGAACACAAAATAGAAAAATTAAGTGCATTGAGGAGAAAGAAGTCAAGTTATTGGAGCTTTTCCCCTTTGTAGTTGGACCAAGAAATAATAGTTCAGATTTTTATCATAACCAGTTAGTTATTCCAAAATTCCATTAACTGAAAAAGAAACTTAAAAATATAAATGACAAATTGAAGCTCTTCTTTATGTAAGTCCCAAATAAGTAAGATTTTTATTTATTTTTATATGGAATTTTCAAAGTCTACTTACTTTAACTGTCAATGCTCAGTAAGATTATACACTTTATCACGTAAATATATGTAAACACTGCATTTATATGTATAAGTATGTGCAGTTAGATAGGATCTCAAATTTCAGGGTTTGTGGATATGAAGAACAGCTAAGCAAAGCACCATAAACTATGTTAAAAATATTCTAAACTGTTAAAAGATTTTTTTTTGAAAAAGCAATCTAAGAACTCATTTTTTTCTTTTTTTCCTTTATCATAGTCATTATTTACATATAAGTATAGATTGATTCTTGTAACATCGTACAGACAGCCCTAAGTAAATCGGTTTTAGACTATTACTTCCACTGTAAAATCAAACCAGTTCTTTCTGAAGAAAGAAAATGCATCCTGAATATAATAAATGCAAAAACCAGCTAGAGCTGGGTGCTGTGTCACAGCCTGTAATCCCAGATATTTGGGAGTTGAGGAAGGAGGATGGCAAGTTCAAGCCTCAGCAATTTAGCAAGATCCTGTCTCAAATTTAAAAAATTTTAAAGGGCTGGGGATGTGGCTCAATGTAAAATGTCCCTGGGTTCAATCCCCAGTACCAAAAATAAAAATCTGCTTGAAATATTTGAACTTATATATGCGAAGCAAATGACAGAAGTTATTTTTAATTATTTACTTATTTATTTATTGATGAGGGGTATCATCAATAATAGGAGCAGTTTCCCACTGAGCTACATCTCTATTCTTCTTTTATTTTGAAACAGGGTCTCACTAAGTAATTGAGGCTGACCTCAATCTTGCAATGTTCCTGCCTCAGCCTCCTGAATCTTTGGGATTATAGGCATGTGCCACCACATCCAGCTTAAAAGTAATTTTTATTAAACTGTAGCAACTATATCTAATATATGAACAGAAAAATTATGCTGTCCTTACCCTCAAAATAAAATACACTCAAAAGGAAACTCAAGAGGCATGACTGCAGGCTTCATGTCATCTGGAGTTTTCCCTTAGACAACGCTGACTATAATCCTTGACTATAATCTTTGAAATATTAGTGCATTTTTCACCCAAACACATCTAATTTTGCATATAAAGATAGGTACTTCTTATGCATTTTTATAGACTCATTGTTTTAAACCTTTGAACTTACCAATGTCTTTGGGTTCCTCTGTCACAGCAATGGTTCTACACCTTATTACAGTGCATACAACAGAAGGAAATACAGCAGTAATATTTCTAGAAATAGCATTTATTATACCTACTTAATGCTATAAGCCAGATGCTGAGCTTCATGTGCATTATCAAATTTTAAATTAAGCTATAAAAGTTATGGGTGGTATTGTTCCATTTTGAAGATGAAAAACTGAGACTTAAAGTGTTAAACATTTTTAGATTAAATTTTTTAGATTGTAAAGATGAAACAAATTACCTAGTGTCACTTAGAGATTACAATGCTCTGTTTCTGCTTAATTGCAGAAGCTGCAAAAGCATGAAATTGTCTGACACCCACATCCTATCTGCAACACCATTCTCAAGTTCACTGCTAACCTCTTGATCACTGCCTAATCACTCTCATTGAACAGCAGCTTGTATCTTCATTATAATCTAAGAGCACAGCAGCAACCTTTCTAATGACCCTGGCAAAATACTATTGATTTTCAGATATTGCCCAAGTATCAGTTGGATGCAAAATTTGCAATATTACCTTCAACTGGAAACACACAGTACTGCATTTGATCCCAGAATTTAAAATAAATAAGGCGTTGCTGTATTTGCAATATCATCAGAAGTCTAGGGATACTTTTTACTTTTCACAGTTCAAGAAATATCTTTTCCTTAAGTTCTTTTAATTCATAAATTTCTTATATTTAAAATGATAGGAAGATTTCTAGTAAGCAAGGGATACCTGGCTTTGAATAGTGAACTGGATAATGGATAAAATTGCTATTGAAAGTCTAGAGAGTGTGAAGAATATGCATTTGCATTCTAAATCACAGAGGTGCTTTTGAGGCAAACATAAACTTACATTTCACTTCTCACCGTATCTAGCACACCTCTCCTGGGTGACCTGAGATTTTATTACCCCATTTTCTATTTTTCAGTTATCTGTCACTCTAAAGGATATAATTGGAATGCAGCGCTGTCGTCTTTGCCTGAAAACCATGGCAACAGTGCTGGAAGTTCAGGACTAAATTGCCCCAGGTTGTTTGGTTGGAATGACAGATACTCTGGCGACAGTTATGTCTTAACAGGGTCCCCTTTCAGACACATTCCTTCATTCTTCTCACTACTGTTTGTGACCTTGGGGTTCTTGTCCCTCACTATTAGGATGTGTAAGATGAGGAGCACAAACTTGAAGAGGCTTTGGTAGAATTTACATTGAAGCAAGAAGAATTTTCCCTGTGTGAAAGGAATCAAAAGTCTTATACACAAACCGCTCTTAAATTACAATACAAATAATGGAGAAAAAATCAAACGTCTGCATTTTTGGACACGTCCCATAAATTGTGATTAATCTTACAGTGCAAAGCATCGTAAGACATACACTGGTCAGCACTTAAGGTTTGGGAAACACATATGGATGACTCAGAGTTTGCTAGAACACTATACATCATAATATAGAAATTGATTTAAGATGACAACTAAGTATTCTAATTCAACAGACTTGTATAAATGGTCCTTATTAGGCCTCTTTGTTTCCTATTTACTCTTCCAAGAAAGAATCATTTCCTTAAAGTTTTTGACAAGTTCCATTGCTTAATGAAAGTATTTCCTGAAAATCCTGTCTCATACAAAGGAGTGCATTTTCTGTCGAGCAGTATTTTATTAACAGAGCTCTTCCATTCTTTCTCTGTAAATATCTTTCCTTCATTTTTGTTTAAAAAAAAAAACCTGACTCATTTGATGAGTAGATTTCATGCCATAACATAAAATCCAACACAGTATAATTTTCAGGAGTTGAAGGAAAGAGCTCTCTAGAAAAATATGATCTGTCCATACTATGCTCAGTCTTCAGCATCTTTTAATAGGAATCTGGGCTCCCACGTGGCCCAGGATTACCCAGCTGTCTTCCAAGGTTACCAGGTTAGCCAGCTGCAAAGGAGGGAAAAGCAGCATTTAGTCAATCGTTCAACCAGCTTTTATTGAGCATCAAATTTATGCCAGGCATTGTTCCAGGTACTCAATTTGCAGTTGCACCTGGATACAAAGGGGAGACTAAGACAGAATGCACAGTGTGGTGTATAAGAGACACTCAGTATCTTTAAATATCATCTACTGTTTGTTACTGAAATAATATTAAAACCACTATAAAGTCCTTATTCTTTAGTAGGCATATTTATATCCATTCTCCAAATATAGAATTCCATATGTTAGCATTTTCAAAAAATCTGTCCTTTGATTTCAGAAAATAAAAGTGGACAATGGACACTAATTAGACACCCAGAAGAGACTCAGAAGGAAGCCCAGCCACTTTAATTTGCAGAACCTCTAGCATGAGACAAAACTTTGGATCCAGGTGTGCAAGAGCATTAAATTAATTTTGGGCTTCCCTTGTCCATCCCCAAGAGCACATCAAAAAGGCCCTACATGGGTGCAATATTTCTTGACCATCTGTAGTGCCAGAAAGAGCTCTTGATCCATAGCTTCAGCTATGCAGAAACATTCAAGGCCCCAGGTGAGAAGAGTATGAGAACCATATGTTCTAAAAATGAATCTAACAACCCTGGGAGCCCCATAGCTGATCTCAGAATCACTGTTACTGGATTACAGAGTCCTGTGTGACCATCTTTATTATGTTCTCTCATCCCTTCTATGTGGTGGGCTCCGAATCCAGACATTTAAGGAAACGCATTAATTAATTCCATAGACATTTAATCTTTTTCTTATTACAACTTGCCAACTCTGGGCTAAGCTCTCAAGGCTCAAGGACAAATGTAAGAAGATTGTCTCCCTGGAGGAACTTATTTTCCGATAGAAGACTGGAGAATTAATTCACCGCACTTTCTCATCCTAAGTATTGTTTGGGATATATTTCCATATTCACAGTAATAATTCAGCACATATACAATAGCCTCTTCGCTAACCTCTCCTCCTCTAATCTTTCTCCTCTTTTAATTCATCCAACATTTCATTAATTTTACCCTGACTTGCTTTATTTTCTCCTCCTAAAAGTTTGTAGTTGCTCCTAATTACCACACAAATCAAGAGAACGTATTGAATCATAAACCACAAAACTTACCATCAATTATCGGTCTCTTCTAACTACCTCAATTTATACTGAACACCAGGTTAACTAGAATTTTCCTTTTCATCTCTGAAAAGATAAAACTCATATTTCCATTATTGCAGGGATTTTAACTAACCAGTCAGACTGGAAAGAGTTACGGAGAAATGTGTTTCTTCTCTCTATAAATATTAATCACCAGCCTTCTCGGTGTGTCTGTATACCATGCAAGCGGGGCAGTACAGAAATAGGTAAAGAAAACCCAGTA